ACACACACACACACACACACACACACACACACACACACACACACATATATACACACACACATACATACACTTGACCACACCTTGTAGGAGTAAGTCATAGCTGGCAACTTGTTTTTTCTTGGATTCTTACTAGCACTTTTGGGAGTTATTTTGTTATTTTTGGTGCTGGGATGGAACCCCGGTCCTCTCACATACTAAACATGGAATCTGCCACTGAGCTACATTCCACCTCTTGCTAGCTTTACTTTGAGAATGATACCCAATTCTGACATCATGTGTTATGGATCCTCCTGCCCTGTTTATAATCATCCCTTAATGAAGTCAGGGCTATTAGAAGGTGTGCGGGGGATCAAGAAAGGGCTATTAGAAGGTGTGCGGGGGATCGAGAAAGGGAGGAAACACACGTGATTCCAACAGCAACCCTTATCAGACAAGGGAGCTGCAACTGTGTTCGTACTGTCCCTGGAAGCCCATGGGTTTGGCTGCTTCTATCTTTACCCTGTTAACCACCTGGCAGGACATTCTGGCTGTTTTATACAGGGAGACTCAGCTAGAATAGGTCCTTCAGGGAAAATAATAAAGCAAATGTTGCCTACTCAACCACTATGACTGCGCTTATATAGCCTGCTATTAACACACACAAAAAAATATAGCCTAAGAAGTTAAAGATCAGATATTAAGATTTTTTTAAAAAAAACTTTTATTTAAAATGTGTCATCTATGAGTAATAACCTGAGAATGAACAATCTCTGAATAAAGGTCAAAAACTTTCCATGACTAAAGCTCTCAGAACATTGTACACTTAAGTTAGAGGCATACTTGGCACAAATACTCATGTATTATCTAACATTTGTCCTAAGCTCCAAGGGGTTGACCAGCTTGGGGACCAATAGAGTACAAGGTAGTCCTGTCCTAGCTTTCCCATGTCCTGAGGGAGGCAAATAGTTCAATAAACACTTTCACTACAGGGCAATAAGTACACAACAGGGAAAGTTGGGGGGCCTTAGGAGCCAAGTTCTAGGTAAATTGCCCTCAAAAAAAAAACCCCAAAACCAAAACAACAACAAAACCCTGTTCTAAACGACTGAAAAGTGTGTGTGTGTGTGTGTGTGTGTGTGTGTGTGTGTTATAGTCATCTGTTTTAAGATAGGCAGAGACAGTTACCCAACTCTTAGATGAGAAAGGAGGGGAAGAAGGGTTTACTGCATGAAGCCCAGCAGATGTTTCAATGAACATTTCTTTTAGCAAAAGCTGACAAAGCAAGACTGTTTCAGGTTACAGAAAACTAGTTGGTGCCATATGGAGAGGTAAGTATAATTGCACAATTCAGTGTGGCATTTCTCCTACTTTCAGTGTAAGTGACCCTTTCCCAACCTCTGGAACACAGGCTTGCCCAAGCCCTCATGGGTCATCTTGGTCTCTACAAACATTGTCTGCTAGGTCTTTCAAAAAATTACATATAAAGTCTTTATTTACATATCTTCTGTTTCCTGCTTGCTCCAAAGGCTTCCCAGCAATGGGAAAGGTTGTCCAACTGGGAATCTTCCTACAGGAAAACAGCTCTCTTGGGTCAGGAAGTGAGCCTGCCCACGTGAGAGAAGAATGCAAGGCATTCCAGGCCTTCTGCAGGGGCTATGAGTTGGGTCAATCCTATCTCCCACAATGAATTCAGGTCAAGAAGAGTCTGAAAACAGTTCCAGGAGAGATAGAAAACACGCACATCTGGGCAAAAAAAAAAAATCAGGCTTCACTTAGACAGTAAAAGCAATCACAGAGGGATCAGCTTGACTCTAATGAGCAGGACTGTGAGACTGGCACCAAGCGGTCAGTAGTTTTGCCCTTGATTATTGTCCCCCAAATGCTGAGCACAACTGAAACCAAAACTGAAGCAAAACTGGAACCATACTCGACGGTTGGGGGACTTCTTGGCAACATCTCACCTGCATCAAAGATGGGGCCCATAAACATAGGTCACTTCTTGGAAAGAGCCCCCAGCATTGAAGGCCATGTGCATCCGCATCCACACCACCTCCTGCAAGCCCTGCGGTTGCACCCATTCGGTGCCCCGCAGGAAGGCCTCTGCTCAGAGCACTGCTCCAAGCACACTCCCTGAGTCTGCACTCGCCTCTGGAATCCCCTGGGGTCCTTCCATTGGGTGCAGAAGTCCAGGGAGCAGGTTGGTGACTCTGGTGACACCGGTGATGGTGGTTCAGGGAAACTGGGCACCGGACACCAGCCCTCCTCAGGGGCTCTGCCCGCAGCATCTTCAAATGTGTGTACGGATATCAACGAGAGCCCTCTCGTGTCTGCAAACACCACTTGCTTCTTGGGTCTCTGGCGTTCAGGAGGTCCTGCCAGGCATGAGCGGAACGACAACTGGGGTTGCAGCTCCACTCCGCCAGGCCGCAGCTGCCGCCCGAAAAATGGACTGTGGGTGAAGCGGAGATGCATGGGGGTATACAGGGAGCAGCAAGGGGACCTTTGAGAAAGGGGGAAGGAAGTTCAGATGTGAGGGCGGACCCGCATTCTCAACTGCCTCTGCCTCCCTCCAGCATCACAGTATTCCCTCCCCCTCCACCCCGTTGGCTCCCTCACCCCCAAGAGTCTGATGAAACTGGATTAAAAAAAAAAAAAAGATAAAAAGATGCTGTGGGTTGAGAGCCAAGTGACAGCCATCAGTTTCTATAGACCGGAGGACTTACCCACTTCACTCCAGGCAGCAGTGCGTGGCAGGGGCGTGGGCTCCTCTAATCCGAGACCACTTTCCCCAGCAGGAACTATTTATTTAGCCCTGACTCCAAAGGACCAGCAGAACTGAAATAGTGGCCCCTTGGAGGCAGCCAATCACAAGAGCCTTTCACGTCCTAAAACAGTCAGCTGGGGAAAGAAAAAGGATGTGACAAAAAGTGTGACTCAGACACTCTGCCCAGGGCTACCAGCACTCCACTCCTGCGGGGGCAGCCTTGGTCCCTCTTCCTCTTCTGTGGTGGGGATCTGTGATCAGGAGGGAAGGAACAGTGATGGACAGCTCTCAGCTGTGGACAGATTTTGAGAAAAGAGAAGTTTCCCAACATACTGCATGTAGAATTTCCAAGGGATCTCAAGGCACTTCTCTTTCCTCTGCCTCTTGTTTTTCTGGATTATTACAAACTACCCATTGGGGGGCTTTTCTCAAACTCCTGGTTTCTCTTCCTTCACATTTTTGTTCACATTTTGTTCACTGCCTCCTAGTCTGTTTCTAGTTGGTGCTCTCCATATCCCTAAGGTGTATCCAGAGACAGGAGGATCACTGAGTGGCACCGACAGAGAGAACTCCTCCAGTGATCCTTAGGCACTGGGTATCTGCTTGAGTTTTTTTGTGGCCAGTGACAAGGCTGTAAGATGCCAAAGTTCATGGTAAGGAATCCCACCTGGTATGCCTAGGCGGCACTGGTGGGCTGCAGCCTGTGCTGGAGATGATCTGATTGTCTCCAGTGACGGCCAAAACTTTCCTGGTGTTCTTTTTTTCTTTTTCTTTTTGTACCTGGAATTGAACCCAGGGGTGCTTAACCACTGAGCCACATCCCCATCCCTTTTTTAGAGGTAGGGTCTCTCTGAATTGCTAAGGGTCTTGCTAAGTTGCTGAGGCTGGCCTTGAATTTGTGAAGCTCCTGCCTCACGGTCCCAAGTTGCTGGGATTCCACGCGTGTGCCGCTGCCTCACCCAGCTGCTGATGTTTTTTAATTTGTATCCTTCTGTTTAGTTTGCAGACCCAGTTTATTCTCTATCCTGAAATTTTCATGTGCCTGGAGTGCTCAGGGCTTTACATTTTTTTTTCCACTTTGTACCTCTTCATTAGCGGTCTTTACCCAATTTTAACAATTATTTATTGTCTTATGTGAATAGCTCCCAAGTCCGTCTTTAGCCCAGTCCTTTCTCCTGTGCGTCACACTCCTGTGTAATGTTTGATTTCATTGATCTGATTGGTGATAACACCAGTGTGTTTCCAGGATAATTTTCCATATGTATGTTATATTTCAATTTAAAAAATCAGGTGGTACATGTCTGTAATCTCAGCAACTCAGGAGTCTGAGGCAGGAGGATCAAAAGTTCAAGGCCAGCCTCAACAACTTAGTGAGAGCTTATCTCAAAGTAAAAAATAGAATAGGGGCTGGAATTGTAGCCTAGCACATGTGAGGCACTGGTTTTTATCTTTAGCACCACATAAAAATAAATAGAAGTATAAAAAATACAATAACATTAAAAAAGGGGGAGTTGGGGATGTAGGTCTGTAGTGGAGCATTCCCAAATTCAATCCCTATATTTAAAAAGAAGAAGAAGGAGGAGGAGGAGAAGAAGAAGAAAAAAAAAACAATTAAACACAGGAAGGAGGTAAAAACTGGAAGGTAGTTCATTATACAGCAGTTTGAAAATGTTATGCATGCAAAAATGGTAACAAATAGTTAGGCAATGTGCATTTTCCACTTAAGATAGAGTGGACGTATTTTCTTGTTATTATATTATAGATTAGTTCAATTTTTTCCCTGGTACATAGTCTTTCATTGTATGGGTCTACCATACTCTATTAGAGACATTTAGGTTGTAAATATTTTTGCTTATAAAATGGTGCAGCAGACACTCTTGTGTATGCATATTTGTGTACACATGTGAGAACTTTTCCATGACCCATATTTAGAATGAAGCTGTTCAAAAGGGATACACTGGGAGTGTAGCTCAGTGGTAAGGTATCTGCCTAGCAAACATAAGGCTCTGGGTTGGATCCCCAGCACTATCAAAAAAAAAAAAAAAAGATGTATGCACCTTTAAAATTCCAATAGGCAAGCTTCCAGAAAGATGTAAAAATTTATACTTTCACCAATAGCTTTCAAGAGTTTCCCTTTTCCCATGTCTTCACCATAATCCAAAATGATCAAACTTTAAAATGCTTACCAATATGATAGGTGAAAAAAAGTACCTCATTATTTTTTGGTATACAATGTATATGTGAACTTTGGAAATCAGTGGTTAGTTCTCATCCGCATCCACTGCCTACATTTTTGAAAGAGGTAATGGGGACATAATCTGCATAGAGCTTGTTTGTGTCATCTTTATCTTCATAATGTTTTCAGGACAACCCCACACAGGTTCTGCATGGGGCATTCCTTATTCCTTCAATTCAGAAAACGTTGTTGATCCTGGTATCAACACACACATCTGGAGTCCCCATCTCCTTCATGGCAAATTTCTGGATTTCTCTGAGTAACTGAAGGGCACATTTCTTAAAGTCCACTTCATGAATGTGCTTATGAATCTTGGTGGTGTAATCTAAGGTCACCCTCTAATATGCTTTATTTTATTTCTAATATTCTTCGTTTTCATTTCCTACTTTTTCATGATCAGATTTGAGGATTATTTGTTTATTTATTTATTTGTTATTCAATGTGTTAGGTATTCTGATTTCCTTGTTGTCTAGTTAGTATGTTGTTCTCATTTGATAATTTTCCCATTTTATTTTTCTATTTTCTTTAGTTTTAATCTTTTGTGCTGCCCCCCTCCCCCAAAATGCATGTAAAGATTGTGCATTTTCCACAAAGAAAATCTATGTGTTTATCCACAGTGCTTTTTGGGGGGTGGGGTATGGGTTTTGCTCTGTAGCCCAGGCTGGTTTTGAACTCCTGGACTCTAGTGATATTCCCATTTTAGCCTTCCCTGCTGAAATTATAGGCATGTGCAACCATACTCAACTGCTTTTCTTCTCTCTCTTTTTTCCTCCCTTCCCTCCTTTCTTCCTCTCTCCCTTCTTTTCTTCCTTTCTTCTGCTGGAGGTAGAACCCAGGGCCAAGGACATACTAGGTATAACTGAGTTATACGCTTAACTGCCCACTTGAACTGGGGATGTGGTTCAGTGGTTAAGCATTCCTGGTTTTCCTGGTTTTAATCCCCAGTACCACACATACACACACACACACACACAAAAAAAAACCCACAAAAAACAAAACAAAAGAAAAAGAAAAAGAACCCCCCTAAAAAAACAAAAACAAAACCAACAACAAAAAATTGGGTGTTATTAATATTTCTAAGGGATTACTTTGGGGGAGGATATATTCTTCCTGTTTGTGAATTGTGCTGTAGGTCTTCATTCTTTACTTATTTACTTATATAACAAATACTTAGAAATCCCTACTATGCACAAAACAACATATTAAATGCTGAGGTACAAAGATGAACAAAACTGTCAAGGCTGCTGACCACTGCTGACCATTCTCTGACTTACTTCAGAGAATGTGATCTTTATAACCTTTATGACCTGAATTTTGAGGAATTTACTGAGATTTCTTTGGTGGTTAGTATGTAATCAAATTTTATGAAAAAAGAAAGTTTTGTTTTGTTTTGTTTTGTTTGCTGGGTGCTTATGCCAACAATTCCAGCGACTGGGAGGCTGAGGCAGAAAGATCACAAGTTCAAGACCAGCTTGGGCAATTTAGGGAGACTTTCAGAAACTTTGCAAAACTCTGTCTTGAAATAAAAAAATAGAAAGGACTGGGGATGTAGTTCAGCGGTAAAGCACCCCCTGGTTCAATCCACAGTACACACACACACACAAAAAAAAAAAAAAAAAAAAAGAAAGAAAGAAAAAAAATGAGAAGAATAAAGAAAGAATTTTTTCAGTTTGATAGAATGAGGTTCACCCACTGCTCAAATTCTGAAAAAAAGAATGTCCAGTTCTTCTGTGATGATTATGTTTTTCTATAATCCTTGTATATCTTAACAGTTTAGGCTTTGTAATGCTATTAGTACTTTCTTTCTTTCTTTTTTCCCTTTCTTTTTTTTTTAGTTTAGTACTATTGTATCTTCTTGGTAATTTTGTCTTATATTAAAGATTAATAAACCTCTTCATTCTACCTAATATGTTTGCCTTTAAGTTTTTGTTAACTTTTCTATTGACATCATTTTTGCCTTGGTAATATCAGTGTGTCATAGTTCTGTTTATTTCTCTATTGCCCACTTTCCTTTTCAGGGTGTGGTTATTTTGTGGGAACAAAAAGTACTGAACTGTGTTTTTTTCTAGATTTCTCTTCTTTTTCTCTTTGTTTTTGATACTTTCAAGAACTCTAGGTTTTCAATTGGCTACCATTGCATAAGAGGGTTTTTTTTTTTTTTTGGTTTATGTTGGCTAATGCCAAGCATCTAGTTCAACATGATTCTGCCATTATTACCAAATCAAATGCTAATATAGACTAAAAGATCATTTTCTCAATTATATAGACTTCTATTTTTCAGGATTATGTTCATAATCCTAAACCTTAGGTCTGCATATGGAGAACATTTAGATTTGAAGTCTTCCCCAGAGGCCCACATATTGAAGGCTTGGGCCCCAGGCTGTGGAGCTTCCTAAAAGTGGAACTGTTAAGAAGAGGGGTCTAATGGAAGGAAGTTGGGTTATTAGGGCTGTTCAAAGGGAATATTGGGATCCCTAACTTCTTCCTCTCTCTATTTCCCAGCCACCATAAAGTGAGCAGCTTAGCTGTACCACATACCCCACCAACACCCCCCCCCCATGATGTTCTGCCTCATGACAGGTGTACAGCAAGGGGACCAAGTGACCAAGGACTGAAACCTCTAAAACTGTGAGCCAAAATAAATCCTTTCTCCTCATAAGTTAATTATCTCAGGTATTTCACCATAGCAACAGAAAGCTAGCAAATACATCTTCCAAATCTAGTTAAACACACAAACATACAAGCACAAAAACATGTAAAAATTTCAAAGATTCTAAAAACTTTTTACCCACAAAGAGACCTTGAATCAGAAGAACACTTTCAACCAAAGTTAGGATTGGAAAAGATCTAAGTTAAGCAAGCGTGTTACTTAACACAATTGGAAACCGGACAGTTAGGCAGGCACGGCCTTTGTAGGTGCCTTCTGAAGAGCTCAATGCCAGGACATATTTTTGCCTAACAAACAGCCTGGGGTCAGGGAAAGGTAACTGATTTTCTGAGTCATAAGTGCTAGTTTGCTATCTTGGTCACACTGCTTATGAATGATCATGAAAAAGCTGAAGATTTTACATTTGCCAATGGAATAGCAATAGCTGTCTAGTAAGTAGATGAAGATAATAATGTGCTTAGA